AGAAAAAATAATAATAATTTATAAATGATCAAGGGGGAGGTGGGGGAAAGGGAAGGGAGGGGAGAAAATGAGGACCTGACACCAAGGGCTCAAGTGGAAAGCAGGTGTTGTGAGAATGATGAAGTCAACATATGTACTAATGTGCTGGACACAAATGATGTATGTATGGATTGTGATGAGTTGAATGAGCCCCTAATAAAATGATTATTTAAAAAAAAAACACAAACATAAAATAAATTTCCATCAACCTCCCAGACTGATTCCCAACCCCCTGCCCCCCCCCCTCAGCACCCACCCCCATCCTATTTCCCCTTTACAATGCAGGACAAACCACAGAAAAGAAGGAAAGACTCCTGCTTTTGTAATTCTTCTCGACAACCTCAGACTCTGTCTCCTTCATCTTTTGTTTGTCTCCTATTCTTACAGACGCTCGCATTGGACTGTATGTACACTACATTTTTATTAATTGTCTAATGCAGGTAAGTACAGAATACTCAGATCTGTTTAAGAGTTGAAAACGTTGGTAATATTAGTCTCTAAAATGACAATAATATACTTCCCCCCTCCACAGTACATAAGAAAAAAGATTTTTCTGAAACAAATTTCAGAATGCACAGCCTTCTGAAAAGCCTCTCATATTTTATACTATTTAAAGCTTTCTTTAGGAGAGTGGGTTGTTTTTGTTTTAACTCTCTCAATAACATGTAGTAAACAGCTACTGGATCTGAAGAAGAACTGATGCATCTTAATTATGGTATTGGTAAAGAATACTAAAAGGGTTGTATATACTCATGTATAAGCTGAGTTTTTCAGCACACTTTTAATGCCGGTCTTGTGGTAAAATTAGGTGCCTCGGCTGACATTCAGGTCAGCTTATACTCGAGTATATGTCGTACTACTGGGGACTGCCAAAAGAACAAACAAATCTATTGAAAGAAGTATAGCCAGGATGATTCTTAGAAGCAAAAATGGCAAGATGGGTCTCATATACTCGGGACATGTTATGAGGAGAGATAAGACCCTTAGAAAGAGATAACACACTAGGTAATGTAGAGGTGCAGTCAAAAAGAGGAAGATCATCAAGGAGATCATTTGACATGGTGACTGTTGCAGTGGGCTCAAATATAACAGCAAGTGTAAGGCTGGCACAGGACGGGGACCGGTTTCTATGTATTGTACACAGACAGCTATAAATTGGAGCCAACTCAGTGACACAGCAAACAACAGATTTGATGCACTATACACATCGACATTTATAGATAAAATACACAACAATCAAATGGGCTCCATCTGTAGGAAGAGACAATGGAGAGGCTCGATCTCAGCAGCTAAACCCCAGGACAAAGGTGCGTGTGGAACAGACCACCTACTGCTCATATGTAAGTTCCGGTCAAGTAAGTACCTACAATAACTAGTCGACATTCCCCCATTTCAGGAGGTAGCAAATGAGAAAGAACCAATGATGCTGAAGGAAAAAGTTCACGCTGCTCTGAAAGCATTAGCCAAAAAGAGCGCCAAGAATTGATGAAATCCCAATGGAAATGTTTCAACAAACTGGTGGTGCACTGGAAGCACTCACTTCTCGATGACAGGAAATTGAGAAGATAGTTATTTGATCAACTGACTGGAAGAGATCCAGATGTGTTCCCATTCCAAAGAAAGGTGGCCCAACAAAATGCTCAGATTACAGAACAATAGCATTGATATCATAAGCAAGTAAAATTTTGCTGAAGATCATCCAGCAATCATTGCAGCAGTACATTGACAGCTGCCATAAGTTCAGCTGGATCCAGAGGAGGACGTGGAACAAGGGATATCACTGCTGATGTCAGGTGAATCTGGGTTGAAAGCAGAGCATGCCAGAAGGTTGTATATTTGTGTCTTATGGACTATTCCCAGGCATCTGTAAATCCTAACAAACTATGCAGAGCCATAAGAAGAACGGCAATTCCAGAACATTTCATTGTGCTCATGCAGAATTCGGATATGGATCAAGAGAGTTGTGCAAACAGAACAAGAGAATACTGCATGGTTTAAAATCAGAAAGGTGTGCTTCAGGGTTATATCCTCTCACCATACTTATTCTATCTGTATGCAGAGCAAATCATTAGAGAAACTGGCTTATATTGAGAAGGCTGCAGCATTGCGATTGGAGGAAGGTTTATTCACAACCTCATGTGATGTGTAGATGACACAACCTTACTTGCTGAAAGTGCGGAGGACTTCAAGCACTCGCTGATGAAGATCAAGGATTGTAGCCTTCAGTGTGAATCACAACTCAATGTAAAGAAGACCAAAACCCTTACACCTGGGCCAATAGGTAACATCACGATAAATGGAGAATACATTGCGGTTGTCAAGGATTCTATCTTCCTTGGATCTACAATCAATACTCATGGAACCAACAGTCAGAGTAGCATTGGGTAAATCTGCCGCACAAGTCCTGTGAGTGTTGAAAAGCAAGGACATTACTTGGAGGACATGGGTGGACCTGATCCACGCCTTGGTGTAAGGAAGCCTGAAGAAGAATCAAGGAATGTGAACTGAAGCGCTGGTGCAGAGTATAGAACATACCAAGGACAAACAAGTCTGTCTTGGAAGAAGTACAGGCAGGGTTCTTAGAGGCAAGGGTGATGAGACTGCATCTCATCTGTTTGGACGTGTTGTCAGGAAAGATCAGGGTCTAGAGAGGGAATCCTGCTTGGTAAAGCAGAGGGGCATGGACCAAGAGGAAAGCACTCAAAGAGATGGCTGACACAGTGGCAACAACAGTGGGCTCCAGGCTAAGATCAACCATGAGGCCGGCGCAGGACCTTGAAGTGGTTCGTTCTGTGACGCAGAGGGTTGGAATGGCTCAGACGGATCCACGGGCACCACCACAGAAGCAGCTGGAAGGAGTGTTTGCTAGCGCAGAGTGCTGAGCCCCACCCCCACCCCTCCACCCCCGAGTTTCTAACTCAGTAAGGCCAAGTCCAGTGAAGTCAGAACTTCCATTGTTAACAAGAGCTCAAGGGAGCTGCTGCTGCTGCTGCTGCTGCTGCTGCTGCCCTGGGCCACACTTGGCGAAACAAGAGTTTAGTTCATCGGGGCTTAATCCCTTAGACTATTCTAATGTAAGAATCAAGAAAGCCCTCGTGACACATACTTGGCTCTAACCGAGAGGCTGGCAGTGCGAGCCCATCAGTCAGTGTGCAGGAGAAAGATGTAGAAACGTGCGTCCATAAAGCCTGCAGCCTTGCATGCCTTGGAGGAGTCCTACTCCATCCTGTAGGATCCCTGAGTCAGAATGGGTTCGGTGAAAATCGTGAAGTTATAGTCATATGTTCTTCTCCAACATAGGTAATTATCATATATTTCTCTTATCCCCATTATAAATAGTTATCTGAAGGTGAACCAATTCTTGTGAAATTCTCAAGAAATATGGCAGATGATGACCTAATTCCATAAGATTTATTTAGTAGATTGAACAAAATAGAACATCTAAGTACAAAACTCAAAGAAATTTAGAAAAGCCTAACATGTATGACCAAATCCTAAAGGTAAATCCCTATATTCAAATGTACTATTGTTGGAAAACAATACAAACCCTTATGAACTAGTCTTTCCTTGAGATAAATTTCCAAACTACTTAATCTCATTTTAAAAACCGAGTGATAGACAAGTCAGGATTCATGCTGCGCTCGCTGTGTGCCATCAAGTTGCCTCCTGCTCACAGTGGCCCTATAGGACAGCACCGGGCAGCCCATTGGGCTTCCCAGGCGTCAATCTTTATGGGACCACATCACCAGGTCTTTTCTCTCCGGGACCTGTTGGGCCTTCTCCATAGCAGCTAATTGCTTAACTATTGCACCAACAGGGTTTCCTACTAATATGTAATGTATGTATGTGATTAACTAGCCTCTCTCCAAAATATGTGCAATTACTCCAAGACAAATGTCCACATTCATGTTACTATTATCACACATTCCTTGAACTAGTTACTGAGTACCTAATATCAGCCACGCACTGGATTAGTCACTTCAACTTATCGCATTTCTTCGAGTGGTTTCTAACAAGTTCAATATCTGATATTTAAGAAACGTTTACTGAATAGATATGCAAATGATGTCAGTGAAATGCATAAAAATATTATAAAAGGTTGCCAAGAAATGAGAAACAAAACAAAGGTAATCCAATAAAACCTAAAAATGAAAAGAATCCCTGGAATTTGTTTTTAAAGGCACTTACTTTTAACCAAACAAATGTTTGTCTAAATAAAAACCCTAAAAATAAAAATAAAATCCCCTGCCCTAGGACAGAGTATAACTGCACCCATGAGTTTCTGAGACAGTAACACTTCGGAAAACTTCATTTTAATCCAGAGAGTGGTTTGGAACTACTTGTCCTCAGCAGCCCAATGCTTAACTCACTCTTCCACCTTTTCGTCTAAATAGTTGATGTAGCACAGTAGGCCTTTGGCTACTATTCTTAGAAGGCCTGCTCACAAGGAAAGCCCTTGGCTAGCGTCTGAGAAGCTGTGTGTGTTCCTAGTCAATAGGCAACTGTTTGTTGTGCCTAAATTGTGTAAGCAATACAGTGTAGGGTAAACACCTGTTTTCATTCTGGAAATCTGAACTTTTTCTACGTGCTGAGCAGAAGACATCTATGGAGACAACCCCAAAAAATACCTTCGGGACTAAGTCACTAATGGGCCTCCTTGGGCGGAAATATAGCACACATGTTCCTACATTTACACTGCTGGGAGAAGGTATGTTCTGTGACTCTTCATAGGGGGCAGAGAACATAGGGAAGTTTGCATATGGATTTCTCCAGACTCCATCTGTGCCGTTCCTCATGTGATACAGCTGTGTATCCTCACTCATTCACTGTAATAAATCTCAGCCATCAGTGCAATCATATCCAAATGCTCACTCATAAATGTTTCTAGCAAATAACCTAATGTGGGGGTGCTCTCAGGGACATGAAACACAGTAGCTGTTTCCAAAAGTCCAGATTCTTACCTGCTGATATGCTTTGTAGATCACATCAAATAGAAAAGCCTGTGGCATTTCACTAGCTTTGTATCTGGCTCGCTCTAGTGAGTGGTCTAAGCAACCATCGGCAGATGGACTGATGACAGTAGATACCAGAGGCCGAATTGCTCCTGCTGCCTGAAGAATAAAACAAAGCAAAAGGATGAAGAAGAAGGAGAGAGACAGAGAGAGAGGAAAATACATTTATTTCACCTAGAGATTGGGTTAAAGATAAATGCAGTATCTCATTTCTGAAAGCAGATCTTCCTTATAACTTCAACAAACTACTGCAAAGAAATATTTGAACAATTGTTTCTTGGGTTGGTTCACAAATCAAAACATTATTTTAGGTCATATTCAACCTCATACTATTACAGTTTCATATAGTAAAAGGTAGAATTATTTCTTCACTTGTTCTTTTTTTGCCCAACAGTTTTATTGACATACAATTCACATATCATACAATTCAGTAGTTTAATAACATCAAGAAGAGTTGTACAATCTACACCACAATCAAT